AAACATTCCCAAATGTTATAGATACCATAAATATTGTATGTTGCTTACAGTTCTAACTTGCACATCAAGTTACTCAGATGATAATACAGATAATACTGGGTGATACTGGGAATGCAGGAATACTAGTTGAGGTGTATCGTCTGTGTTTCAAGTTGTTGCATATGTCACATTGACATATCCTGTATTTGTCATGATCAGTATTTCAAATTGCTATTGTACTGATGTAAATAGTTGACTTTCAATATGGCATTTCCATGTTAGTCATTGTTGTTGAATTAAAAATGTGGCAATACTTCTCTTAACTACAAGATCATTTTTTTCTTAGTACTCCATTCCCTACTCATTACATTGATGAGGGTATACTAGTATAACATCCTGTATACATCTATGTGTACCTTAGGAAGCACTTAGAAGAGGACCTGAGTGATGCACTAATTCATGTCCAGTGTCAGTTTGAAATGGCAGAAGTTGGCAGAGCAGGGAATTAGCTTTCATTGCACAGACCTTGTTGCATCTCATCTCAGCCACCATCAGTACATCTACAGTACATGTATGTGATGTACATGTAAACTGATCTGTTTACCCTGGGTTTTCTATTGACTCCAAATGTATCCTCTTGTCTAAACCCATCTACATGTACATGTACATGCATATGTAACCATCATCGATCTCAATCATAAGACCTACTGGATACCACAGCTACAAGGTCTCTTTATGTATTATGCCCAAACCTTAAGAAAAGTCAGATACAACTGATTTATCTAAGCACAAAGTTTATTTTTCAATGTACAGTAAAAAGATATTTGCCTCATACACACTTGTTAAAGCAAAAAACTTGACTTGTTAAAGCATTTCCATCAAACAAGAAAATATAGAACACTTAACCATAACATTTCTGTGATCACAGAAGTAGGAAGAATGAAAAAACTTTGTACAGTGATCATAATGTACATAAATGTGTATTTCTATACAAGAAAGAATCATCACAATCTTCAAAAATGTGAAATGTTATTAACCAAGATAAATGCAGAAAACATTTTAAACCTCTCAGATTTCATGACGTAGAATTCTAAATACACCAACTTGAAGATTTTTGTACTATAATAGAATTACAGAAGTCATAAAAATGCCTATGCTCCTTGTGCAGTGGTACAGCAGTATTATTGATGGTGATAAACAGCTTCCCCTAACGTCCTGTCAAATGTCCTCTAGTCGACTTGTGGATTGCTCTTGAAAAGATACTCAGCCTGGAACAAAGAGAGGAGGCCATGAGAAATAGTGAGATTGGTTCACTTACATCCAAACTAGTTCTGGGGTTTCTAAATACACCATTTCATTTAAGTTTCTTCTTAAACCAGGACATTCACTTGGGTTATTACAATGGGTTTTTAGGTTGCACCTGGCTTTCAATAACAATTGACCACAATATATTAATCAAAAACAACTAAAAAGGTAACATTTGCTAAGCAAAATGCATAATATTTACCCTCGCATATGTTCTGCTCTGTTAATTCTTACTCAAACACATCCACATAAATGCTGACAGGAGTCTTAATCCCTCCTACTATAAAATGGTCAGTTGCTCTTACCAGAAAGTCAACAGGGTCATCAGGCCGGACCTTGCAGGCCTCGATCAGGCCCTGTGTGAGGGTTGGCATGACGTGCTTCATCAGGTAGTTCCTGAGAGGTGTGGACTGGGCCTCCAACACCTCCTGCTCCTGGCGCCGCACTTCCTCCAGACGCTCAGCCTACAGGTGCAAGTGGATAGAACCAGTCAGAGGTGAATACAACCAGTCGCAGATGAATAGATCCAGTCAGAGGTGGATAGAACTAGTCAGAGGTAGATAGAACCAATCAGGTGGATAGAACCATGCAGTCGCAGGTGGATATAACCAGTCACAGGTGGATAGAATCAGTCAAGAGGACAAGACTGTTTTGTTAAAGATTAAAGCAGGGCTCACTTGAAGAATTGATTTTAATACAATGTGCACCTATTGGCACAGCTGGGCATGTTTTGTCACAATGGCAGGGCACACAGTAGGAAATGAAAGCAGCATGTGGGATATTCGGATTCTTACCCATTCCTCCTGCCGACGAGCCCTCTCTGCTGCCTCCTCTGCCTCTTTCCTCTCTCGCTCCTCCTGCTCCTGAGCCTCCCGCTTCAACCGCTCCTCTGTCGCCTTCCTCTCCATCTCTTCCAACTCCTCAGGTGTCGGACCTAAAACATGAGTCACAGGAATCAGTAATGCCTCATTCAACAAGCAGCATAAAAGGAATCAACACTTAGTGTTCTTAAGTTTCACAACCATACATTTCACTCTGCCAATGTTTCAACGACCTATCGTCTTCATCTGAACTTGTGCACTTTGACTTTGAATACCTAGTAAGTTATCAACAAGAAGATAGCATCAAGCACATAACAGTGGCTCAGACAGAACAAAAAGTTCAACCCACCATAGTTTCTGGGCTCCCCCATGGTCTTGATGATTTTGTCCACAGTCTGGCGCATGTCATCCGACACATCCTTTGACACATCTGCAAATGGATCCAGAGTTAATCGATTTACTAAAATATCCTGTTGAAACACATGTACCTAGCAGTACCTAGCCTATTCCAAAATTTTCATGAGAATAAATAAATGCATTGACCAACCTTGGTAATGTTATCAAAAACATCAAGTAGGTTCATGGCTTTGGCAGAGCGCCCTTTTGCCAGTAAATGTAATCAAGAAGAGTTTCCACAAGTAGCAATGTTACCTATGTGGTCTGGATGAATCTCAAGTTCGTCAAAGTAGTTGAGTATGGTCTCGTCTTCCCGGTTGATGTTGCGGAACTCGGTGAGGCGTCTGGTCAGCCCCTCCTCCGTGTTGTGTGTACCGGCCACCTGACCCTCCGGCAGGTTCATCACACGCACCTTCAGGAAGTCATCAGGTGCATCCAAGGAGATAACAACCTCTGCAGACACAGGCATCACATTACAATCGCTTTGGATGAAATACAATGTTCAAATGTTGTATATTGGAATGTTGTATTCATTTTGATGTACAAGCATATGAGTTTTAAGCTTATCTAGTTTGATTCAGGGTAATTTTACTGCCAGATTACCTAAAAAGCCCTCCACAGAGAAATGTCTTTGATATATTTGTACTTCGTTATGAGTCAAAAAGAGTCAGTTCAAGACTTTTAGTTTTTTTTGCAGCCAAACTTGTTGAGGCCCCTGCATGTGAAGCATAAACAATTAAACACTAATCCTAATATGGACTGCCTTACCTGGCATGGTGCCCTTGTGGTAACTGGGAACCTTCCCTCCCTCATCCTCTCCCTCCTCTTCATCATCCACTAGGGAGGACAAACAGAGATTAGGAACAATATAGAACATACAACACCACCGAAACCACATCACACATGTATACAGAGGTCTATCACCCTACTTACTAGTTGCTATTTTTTGAAAATTTTGTAGTTCCAAATTCATCTGACTATTGCACACGTCTAGAGGATGTCACCCATATAATTGAATCAGTCCGGCCTAAATAAAAGCTAAAATTCAGATTTTTTTACTTACAACCAGCATCTGTCATGGCAGTGTGGAAGAAAAAAACGTGTTTGTTAAAACAGTCATTCAGTCTGTTAGCATGCAGTTTTTTGGCACTGCATCTCTTGGGGGAATGCCATGGAATTTCATATTTCTACAAAATTGTGGTCTTCAATAGTAGACTGAAGAATCTTGGGAACTCAATTAGTGCTTGGTCTATTTTTGGAGATAAACACTGTCCAATTGCATGCAAACACACCTTTCCCTGGTTCTTAACACCATCCATACACAGGTTATCATACCTGTCCCTGGTGCTGAACACCATCCATACACAGGTTATCATACCTGTCCCTGGCGCTGAACACCATCCATACACAGGTTATCATACCTGTCCCTGGTGCTGAATACCATCCATACACAGGTTATCATACCTGTACCTGGTGCTGAACAGCATCCACACACAGGTAAACATGCCTGTCCCTGGTGCTGAATACCATTCACACATAGATAAACACACCTGTCCCTAGTGCTGAATACCACTCACATACAGGAAAATACACCTGATGCTGAAGACCATTCAGACCTGAGGTAACAACCAATGAGCTGGTTTATGGATCTATCTACCTTACGTGTGGCAACTTTTCTATACCTGCAAATAGTTCTTTAGCTTGCTCATAAGTCTTGGGGAATCCATCCAGGATGAAGCCTTGATTCTGGCATGGCATGGAGCGCAGCTTCTCTCGGTAAAACCGAATGATGTACTGGTCCTCGATCCGGTCTGATGAACAAAACAAAATACTTGTCAACATTTACAAAAACATTAAGTTAAAGAACATTATAAATGGCACTGCAAAAGTTACATATCATATAAGAAACCAAAACCAAATGTACAGTTGCAGTAGGACCACCATGCTTTTGTTGCCTTGAATCTAAGAGCAGCCTTATTGTTCTGCATGATCCATACCATTGTTGTTCTCTCGTGACTCCTGGATGGCATCCAGCAACTCCTGTGCTTCTTGGGCCTTCCCATCATCCTCTTCCTCCTCTCCTTCATCAGCTCGTGCAGACAGACGTTTCTACATGGACGGTACACAGATGTTTGGTGGTACTATGTAACAGTACTTCAGTTACATGGAGTAATATGTAGTCACTGTGGTATCGTGTAGGAGTTCTACATTTGTATATTGTGGTTCTACAATTTTGAATGTATTTGTGATATGTAACCTGGTGGATAAATGATAAATAGATGGAGATTACCAAAGAAAAGACAAACTAAGACCCACCAAGTTCTCCACAGCCTCATCAATGACATCCTTGACCTTGATGTGGTGCAGTTTGTAGTGCTCACACAGCTTCTTGGCGATGGTTGTCTTCCCCACAGCTGGTGGGCCCATGATGCAGCCACGCATGGGCTGGGGGGAGGGGGGCAGGTGAAGAAAAATGTTTAACTCGCTGATAGTTTATGTTGTTGTTTGTTCTCAAAGATGATGAAAACATTGCATCAGGGACAGTGTGAACAGCTGTGGCATATCAGTCATCAGTACAGTACTCACAACCACACAAACACACCTGTCCTTGGTGCTGAATGTCATTTGCACACAGGTAAGAAACTGTACTTGGTGCTGAGCGCCATTCAAACTGGCAAGTACACCTGTCCTTGGTGCTGAACACCATTCACATTGTTAAACACTGGTCCCTAGTGCTCAATACCATTTACACAGGCAAGTATGCCTGTCCTTGGTGCTGAATGTCATTCAAACAGTTAAACAATATTGTTCCTGGTGCTGAATACTATTCACACACAAGTAAGTACACTTGTCCCTGGTGCTGAATACCATCCACACAAAGGTGAATACACCATGTCACTCTCTACTTCACTCACCAGGAGGCCGCGGGACTGCTTGTACTCCCTGATGACAGTGTCAATGTTCTCACACATGCCCGTCTCTGCAATCCACATGATACGCATGCTCTCCTTCACAAACATGGCCTCCATGCGCAGATTCACCAGAAGCTGGTCAAAATCAGCTTGCTAAGAAAGCCAAAAGCAAGAAATACAACTGAATTACTGTACATGCTATTTTCCTGCATCGAAAACGATGGAAATACATTGCACTGTACATGATTTCTATGCAACGTGGGCATGTCTTTTGGGAGTTTTTTTATAATCAACATTCGATGCCAATAAATGCAGCCGAAACATCCACTGCACAAAAAGGACATCCACAGATGCCAATAAGCAAAATGCCCATTTGGTGAGAACAGAAGGCTTTTGTGCAGAATCTGAGAAACGTTGAGAAAACTTACAGCCAGATCCTTACTCAGCAGTGCCTCCTCCTTGGTGACATGCTTCACTTTCCCATCACCCAGGTGAGTGCTGATATGCTGCACAAAGTGAGGAAAAACTCATCAAGTACAAGTAAAGTAAATGTCATACAGGCAGACCTTAATACCTCAGGTGGTGACCATCATCAAGTGACCTACTCCCGAGTTATTCTGTTGTCTGCATCACATATTGTCATGATGGCACATCTAGCTGGTACCATAGGTATCACAGATCTTCTGCACCAGTATAAGGATAATAGTAATTCCTATGAAAGGGCACTTATGATAGCTGCAGTACCAATTTTAAAAGATAGAAAAGTGTTGAACAATGGACACTAAATTTCTTCGGCCCTTACTTGGCCAAAAATCATCTAACTTTTGATATGACATAGACTCCAAACATCAGCAGATCTCTTGCTATTGGTTTTTCTACCTTTTTGTATAATATATGATATCAATAAATGAGGCACAAGATCTGTCATACACAAATGGCAATTGCTCCCTGTCAACAACAAAAATCTTCCACCAAATTGTGCAGATGTCCTTAAACCACACACTCATGCAGGTGTACCACACACTTTCAGGAAGTCATAGTCTTCCTTGGAGAGTTTCTTGACCTTCCCGTTGCCCAGGTTTGAGGCGATGGCCTGTGGAAACACAAAGTCAGTGAATGTCATGTAACCATAACTTCTGGTTGTACATGGCAACTTGCTTTGTTCACATCTCATGTTTAGAGCAGCTCAAACAGCTGTTTGTTAATTGGAAACAGCTAAAAGAATATGATGTAATTTTTAAAGAAAGTTGAGACAGGTATTTCTTTTTATATAGAAATTGTTTTCTTTTTCAAGGAGAAGTGAATCCAGAAAGACCCTTATTGACAAGTTTCACATTTTATGTTCTAGCTGCAACATTGTTCTAGCTGCTCAGAGAAAACAAAGCAAGCTCCAACACCAAGACCAGCCTGAAGTTAGCACTCTGTCACCCCAGCTAGGTAGAAAAGGAAGGAAGGAAGAATGGTTAATGTGTTAACAGAGACACTTCTTGTTATAAGGTTAAGTAGAAAAGCAGCAGTAGATCAGCCAGAGTACAGCAACCTGAAATCCAGAAGAGCAGGAAAGCAGGCATATTGTTACTGTTAGCTGTTGGAGAGAAGAGCACCTGAAATGAATGGTCAGTTGTTTCCTGTTGGGTTATTGAAGAAAGGACTTGAACTGTGAAATTACTAAATTGTTACCATAAAGTAGACCAGCAAGATTAAAGGATTTTACAGCTAAATTGAGGCTACCTTTCAAGACTCAATCAAGGTTTGAGATTTGAGTTGAAGTGAGCAACAATTTTCACTTGACGTAAGCAAATATTATAATCTGGTGCCCTGAGTAGTTACTTTCAACATGTGCACTAAAAGTTACACCTGACTTCAAATAGGTTTCTGATATATTAGGCTTTGTTAAAACCACAAGTTTTATGCTAAGAAATATAGCACAACTGCACAAAAGAGGCCAAGAAAAGGGTTACCAGAAGAACTGAAGGTTTTGATAGATGTAAACTTACCCGGACAATCTCTTCCAGGGTGTTCTGTGAGTCATCCACAGCTACAATGTAGCGGGTCTTGGGGCGCTGGTCACAGATGTTCTGGAGAACCCTGTGTGGTAGCAACCAAACATATACAAAGGAATAAGCAAATATTAAGGTGGGCATGTTGTCAGTAAACTTTTAGGCCCTATTTCAGGTGTTTAGTAACTCTAGAGAATGGTAAGGATCATCCTTTATGTGCAATTATGAATTAACATAATACAAGAAAACACATACCCAGCCAGGTCTTTTATGTGAATGGTAGGCACGATGTTGGTACCAGTTCCAAACACCTGTAGTGCTGGGGACTTGCCCTCCCATGCAGCCTGGATGTGGCAAAGTTATATTTAGAGTTAAAGCAAAATAAGTGATAGCAGATAATTGGTATCTAATTGTGTCAGTACAATCAAGCTAGCAAAATACTGCAAAATATGGCAAAATACACATCATATAGGCATATTTGATCATTATGACAATAAGTTAATAAGATGTTCATTTCCCCTGAGGATAAACTATTTGTGAATGGCCAGTGGCTGGGGCAATGGGACTGGTTAGCTATCACTAAAAGTTTGAAACTCACCTTGAAGAGGAAGTGGAAGATACTCTCCCCCATCCCAAATGCCAGTCCTGCTGCCACAACGTATGTCACAAACTTTCCCTTGTTCTGTAACAACCGTGAAACAGGGACCATGGTAAGAACATTGTGGAATATGTCATATTTCATAAGTGATAAAGCTGACTTGATTTGGTATCATCAGATCATTAGGTAAACTTAAGATTAGGTAAACCATGCTATCATGCCATGATGGACCATTGTAAAATAGGTGAAAACTTGACTTTGAGGTATTTTAGAATTGAAATCCTCCCTTACTGTTTTGCCATTTTTGATGACCAGTTTCTCAGCACTGATGTGGTTCTTGAAGTTAGGATGAGGCTTCCTCCTCCTGTAGTCATCTTCTGTGAACGGAATCTCAGGATCATCCTGAGAGAAAACATAGAAGCCATTAGCTGACTACGACAAGTCTTACCTTTGCCTGCTAGGTTTAATTTTCCTAGAGTTAACAGTCAAATCTCAAATACAACACTGCAAGTTTCTATCATTGGAAAACAAATCAGACAGCAGATATCTGTACAGAATAAGGCTTCATCTTAAGTTCTTCTTATAATGTTTAGTTCCCCATACACAAGTCATATTACAAGATACCTGCATTCTCCATTCCTTGATATGCAAAGATGATACAAAGTAAAAAGAAGACAGTTGTAAGAGTCAGCATGCATAGGTGACTAAGTCTTTGTGTGAAACAATAAGAAAGTATACCCACTCACTAAGCTTAGCCTTCAATGATGCATACATGGTAACACACATTTAAAAACAAATGTTGCTGATCAAAGATGCTGCTTTATGGAATAAATGTCGGTGAGACTTACAGGATCCAAAGGTTTACTCTTGGCCCACGTCATGACAGAGGACAGCAAGATGAACATCTTCGGATTGTCAAAATGTTCCAGCTCAGCATGGAGAGCTACAGGAAATTTGTGTAATTTTAGTACATGCAGAGACTGTTATGGGACACATATCGACATAAGCCCAAAGACAACTATTTCCAGCAATCCACTCCTCTTCAGTCCCTCCCCTGCCTACCTGAGCAGGCCCATGTGGCCTCATCAATCTGGTCTGGATCCTCTGTGATGTCATAGATGATGATGTCACATTCCATCAGGTGGTCGGCCAGCTCTTCCTTGGCTGCATACTAGAACAAGCGACAAGAACAGAATATAAATTTATGGACAGATATCTAATACAGTATAGGATTTTCTGATAGCATCATCACTTTTGCTATCAATACCCCAAGCCAATTGCTACTGAACCATGGTTACTGAATGCTGTTTGTGTCTGAATACAAAATGTAAATCGTATGTTTCACACGAACCAGCATCAAAAAAGCTCGGACTCTCATTTTGTGGTTGAATATGAGCAGCTAAGTCATAGATGGAAAATGATTTTATTAATTACTCTATTAGCCAACTTTTCTCAGCAACCAAATGGTAAAGAGTTGTACTTTAGCTAAGCTCTGAAGTATTCCTGAGCAGATATCTGTATGATCCTTACCTGTACGACTTCTTTCACCCAGTCTGGCTTTGCATTTGCAGGGTTCTGTAACGTCCCGATGATTGTGTACGTGCCCTCCTTGCTGGGAGGGATGTAGTCACTGCCCCTGTCCTCCTCACCTTCACTTCCCTCCTCAGCTTCCTCGAGTGATGATCCAACCACACAGTCGGACAGAAACTGAAACAGTAAGAACAACATAAATAATTTTTCAGCTAAAGGCATAACAAGTCGTTATTTAATTTAGTCTTCTTTCTTCCTCACTCTTAACATTATCCAGAGAAATTGAAGAGTGATCTAATGTATTTATGTCGAATTTAAGGTACCTGTTTGAAATGGATCAATATGGAACGTTATATTTTCTGCTTTTACTATGAGATTGTTCATGCCCATTTCCGAAACGAAAATTATTATACTGACATGCTGACAACCTGCATCCGTTCCCTATGATATCAAAGTAGTACAAAGCGTGCGTAGTAAGCGCACCTTCCGGTTATGTATTTGCCAAAATAGTGACTGGTGAAACCCCCCACCCCACCACACAGAACACACACACAAACATTATATACGCTCGTTTGACGTAATCATCAAAGGTATTTTCGACAATACAGTGTGTTCACATTGTCACTTACACCTACATTTAGATAACCCTACCTTTGAAAGGTTCTTCCCAGAGTATGCATCGACATGATTGACGAAAATCCGCTTGGTTTGAGGTTTGTCATCGATTGCGTCCGCCATCTTGCCTTGTTGATCTGTGTCTGTGGCCCTTGTTGCTTGGCAACATCGATCCCAGGGCAGTGTTCGACACAGGGGCCAGTGAACGAGAACATCCTAGCTCCAAGCAGATGTTGAGAGGGAAGGTCGTTGGGTTTTCTGTACAGTTGTACCGTTTCTCGGATTTCAATACATTGATTGATCCCAAATCAACAAAACTAGTTCTTCCGGGATTCCACTTTGATATCTTTTTTTTCAAAAACACACGTAACACAAAACTTTATCTAATACCTACCTAATACCTATCTAATAGCTGGAGTACAAAAGAAATCTGATAGGCGTTTAGACTTTGAGCATAATTTCCTCCGAGTCCATCAGCTCCCGACTGACAGTGAGAGATTTTGTAACATAGACCACGGTACCTATGATCACCAATGCATATTCTATTGCGCAATCAGACCCCGCCCTTCATGGTCTTCACTTGGCACAGCTCTTTGAACCCTCTTGCTGCTAGCAAGACCTTCTGTATGAGAATGTCATAAAATACGCATAAAACACTAAGACTGAACCGGATCTTACATCTGCTTGAAGATTTCAATATCTCTTTCTGCTTCCTGTGCCCTTCCCCTGTTTATTTCAGTGGCATGACCTAGCAGAATAAATTATGTTGATATAACATGTGATGCCACGTCGAAGGAGTGACGTCATATATGAGCAATACTCGTACCCCCCCTATAGGCCCCAATTGCAATCTGTATGAGGGAGTAGCAGCCATATTGAAAAGCGTTTCCGTTTGATTCCTCTTTCTGTTAGCTGCGTACAGGTGGATTTCTTCCTCCAAAGGACCCCAAATCAGATAATTTCTTCATCGTAGGATCCTCCTGGCAATGTCAACCATGAATCCGGAATAGTAAGTCCCAGCCTTTTCTTTTTACGATCATTTTAGATGCCGGCCGGACACGTCAGACAGTCTACACTTGGGGGACACCATGCAGGAAAAATTATCTGAAATACAGGTTGCGTTAGGACAATATCTATCCTTTTCACAGTCTTATGTAGACAGATGGGTGGCTATTTTAGTAAGGTTACGTCTCTTTGATGTCTTAAAGATGTTTGTTTCATAGCATATTTGGAAAATGATAATCTTTTCAGACATGAAAATGAGGACAAGTGAGAGGCACTGTCCTGTCATGGAGAGTTGAGCTAACACTGAAAATGAATCAATGAAACTTTACCAGAAAGCATTCAGCATACCTTACTGCTGTGGGTACTCATGAAAGACAGGGAAGCATTTCCTGTAACGAGATGTTCGGAGTTTGGTGTTAGAGGGGAACGGAAGTGAAGATGCCGGCATTTTCCCACTTCCCTTCACACGACATCACGAGGGGGACCAGTCATATAGACAACACGCAAGAGGGGAGGGGTGTTGTCAGATGGCGACCTTTGTCATCTGGAAATCAAGCATTCAGAACATAAATAGCTAAGTTTCTTTGCTTGCGCAAGAAAATGTTCATGTTATCACGTCCCGATACCCCTAGATAGAAAAAGACGACCCAGACTTCTTGAGATCAAACTATAAAATGAAAATGTTCACAAATATTGTGTTACTAGCTCTGTACAGGTTTCAATCGTGAATAGCCGGTGGTAATGCTGACTAATTGTGAATATTTACATTTGAGTGAAACTTAACAATTCTGAAAGTTCGAATCATGGAAAGTAGAAGTCATCATAAAATTTTCCAGGGAGGACAAAGTGGGAACAAGACAACAACCCCCCTCCCCAATCTTATTTTGTGTATGATCCTATATTATATTAAATTTGCTTCAAGTTGTCATAGATCCCCACATATTTTGTTAATGTCATGTTTCCGTCCTTTGTTTTCACTTCAATAGCTATGATACCTGACTAGATGTTAAGTAATTGCATGTACAACAGCAGGATTGACTAAGCAGAACAAGAGGTCAAGACAAGGGCATTTTTAATCATGAGTTAGGATTAGAAAAGCAGATATGCATTCCCAACTATGTTTTAATTATTAAGATAAGTAGGGCAAGCTTGTTCTGGTACAGTGTATTAGTATATGGTACCAACCGAGTCACAAACCGTACAAAAACTGCCGAACATCATGATGTTACTAACACTTGGGAATGAACCTGAACCTGATTTCAAGAGTGTCACTGGAAATGACACTTTCTAAAGAACTCACCACCATTGTTGATTTGAGTATGCCCTGATTGTGCCATGACTCAAACTGATTAGTGTCCTGCCATAGACATAAACTAAAAGATAGTTGTTGACTGATACAGGATACAATGTCACTGTAAACGTTGAATCATATTAAGGTCTTGGTAGTATATATCATGATCTGATTATATTTCCTCAACTCCTGCCAATACTTCTTTTTTCAGATACCATTAATATCTAAGTCATTTTTATATAATATAAGTGACCTACTTTTGCTGAGATGCTAAGACCCGACCCTGATGTTTTTCAGTGATTACTTGTTCAAATTGCTTCTGATCGGCGACTCTGGTGTAGGAAAGTCCTGTCTGCTCCTGCGATTTGCTGTAAGTATGGACTGGCCTTAAACGTTAAAGCCACAACATTACCTTTTAATTCATGCAAGTATTTTGTACAAACTTGAAAAGAATTTGACAACAAAAGACCATATTTCTGTTTATTTCCTTATCATATTCAACAACGGTAGTATAATTCAAAAACAGTTTCATGTACTGGAAGCATGTATGCTTCATGGTAAAATAATTAGAGTTTAAGAAAACTGCTGGATTCCTCCTAACAAACCTCTACCTTTGTCTTCCAGGATGACACGTACACAGAAAGCTACATCAGCACAATTGGTGTTGACTTCAAGATCAGAACCATAGAACTAGATGGGAAGACCATCAAGCTTCAGATAGTAAGGCGTCGCTACTTGTGGATGTCTGCAGAAGAATTATATGATATGAGTTATTATATGAGTTATTCATTCACACACTCAGTCACTGCATCTATTGTTCCTTGTGTTGTGAAATCTGGACATAGTACACAAAAGTTCCACACACATGATACCTATCTATATAATCACTCGAACCTATTCATTCACTCACACATCCCTGTACGTACGGACATGCTACCTCTGGGTCTTAACCCAACCCTAAGCAGACATAAGCAATCTGGACATAGTAGAGAAGATGTTGGTGTCTGTGACATTTGCATGAATTTGTATCCAGCAACTGTTCTCTTCATGCAACTTAATTTTTTTTCCTACCATGATAATATGATCAATTTCATTTTTGCAAAAGTCCTTCCAGCATGTTCTGGCCTTGATGGTGGAAAATGTTTTCATTGTTGTGAAGTACAGCTTTGGTCAATGAAAAACCATGCCTTTTGAAACCTTATTGATTCCCATAGCTGCTGTTGTTTGTGTGTTTGATATTTCCTTGTCTAACTCAGCTGTTTTTCTGGTGACAGTGGGACACAGCAGGCCAGGAGCGGTTCCGCACCATCACATCTAGTTACTATAGGGGGGCGCACGGAATTATCATTGTGTACGACGTCACAGACCAGGTAGGCCATGGACTAGCCACTAGCTTTCAACATAGGCACAATTGTACAAGACTCAACTTCATAAAGCAAAAAAAAATTTTGTACTTTCCATCTTCTAGCATGACTCCTTTCGGCCATATTTCCAGTTAATTCTTACAGTTACACTGTTAATTTAATCAGGTCAATTTTAGTATTTGAAAAAGTAGTTGTGCATTGTTCTCATTGTAGGTGGAAGGATGCTCTTCATTGCAGAAACATAACTTCAGAAAAAATCCACCTTTTTGTTATTATTTAGTGGAGAGTAAGAAAATACCTTTCAAATACTTACGCAAGCGTGGAAGTATAAAATGACATAACTGCCCATCTGTCATAACAATGAAGATGGTGAATGTTGGAAAATGTTTAGACATACCAAAATCTATCTAAATTGTTCCACGGCTGTCCTAAAGCTTTCAGTTGTTAGGGATCCTATGTCTTTTTTTTATGTTGACATGCAAGATAAATGAAGTTGTTAAGTATGATATGCAAACACATAAACTAAGTCCTAACCACTCACTCACCACACTGTTCTCTTTCCCAACAGGAATCTTTCAACAATGTAAAACAGTGGCTTCAGGAGATAGATCGCTACGCGTGTGAAAATGTCAACAAATTACTCGTTGGCAACAAGAGCGACCTCACCACAAAGAAGGTGGTTGACTACACGACGGCCAAGGTAAAGTCAGATAATAGTGATTTTCCATCTCATATCAAATCTGCTATGTAAACTTGTGTTTTCCTCAAGTTTGAATGCCACCACAGGCCTCGAAATTAACTTTTTTTACTACTGTCCCAGAATTGTCCCGAATATAGATTTCAATTGTCCCGAACTGAAGATGGACTGTCCCAGCCTGCTTTTCAGGAAATAAGTTAATGACAACAACAAGAAAAGAACAACTGAATTTGTACAACTTGAAGTCCACTTTATAAGTAAATGTAGGGAAATACAAGATAATATCATGGGCACGGCACCATCTTTAAGGCCCCCCTCCCCGGTATTTGGAATCCTTGATTGGTCAAATTTAAATGTTTGTCAGAGTATTATGGGCTGCCGGCAGCCGGCAGAAGGATAGATGGATCGCGTTCCTAAATGACGTGGACGGTCTCAGAATTTTCCAATTGCCTCCAAATTGTCCCGAAGCATAATTTGAATTGTCCCGAGCTGAAAATTTAGTGTCATTTGACACTGGGACAATGTTAATTTCCAGCTGATGTGATCTTAGTTAGATTTGTTACAAAGAACTTCTGTTTTGAACTGTTATTGTGTCTTACTGTAACTGTATATTGATGAAAATGTAAAGACACCTAAGTTCATTTATTTCTTTCAATAATTCTAAATTACATGAGAAACAGCATTGTGCAATGTTATGTGCCATCCTGTACAGTATAGTATTTGAGAGTTCCCCTGCATGTTTGGCCAGCTATGACTGATATGTCCTGGGCTTCATCTAAATTTCTTATTTTCAAATAATAAAGAATGATTGTACTTCTGTCTTTTTCAGGAATTTGCAGACCAGCTCCATATCCCTTTCCTCGAAACTAGCGCCAAGAACGCCACGAACGTGGAACAGGCTTTCATGACGATGGCAGCAGAGATTAAGAACCGCATGGGGCCGGGAGCCGTAACCAACGAGACAAAACAGAACGTGAAAATCCAGAGCACCCCAGTCAAGCAGAGTGGAGGTGGCTGCTGCTAAAGATCCAACAGGTCACACCCTTCTCTGTACCCCAGGTGGGGTAACTTTTGATTCTTGACTTGGACTTGCAATCACCAAGACTGAATAAAAACCAAGCTACCCTACAGTGGAATGACTGGCCATTCCAGTTTCCATACAAAATTATACCAGTTACGACAAAAATAATTAGTCATTCACCAAAGTGATGAGTTTTGATTCTGTATTTTTTTCCTTTTATTTTTGCCATGCATTTTTGGGTGGGTGGGGGTTTGTGGTTTTTGAACAAAATGATCATGTACATTGCAAAAACCACTTATGTACAGTCAACATCAGATGTGTAGAAATTTTGCAGTGGAAAGGTCTTTCCCAAGAAAAAATACATGTAGCAGAGAATGTTGGGCATGCAGCATAAATTATATGGATACATGAAGAAAGATATTAGCGATATCGATGTGTAATGTTAAGCAGTTCATTGTATGAATCATCATTAGTACAGTAATGAAACCATGTTATGTTCTTTTTACTAATGTGTAGATTGCACTGAGATAGTAGTTGGTGTAGAACATTGCCAGACACTGTCATGATCACATCTCTCATAGGGAGGAGGTGCAGGGTCTGTGTGGTGTGGGCAAAATTGCGATCATGGGGGTGGGGGCCTTGTTCTAGTGAAAAGGGAAAATTGTCAGCGTTGACTTGCTTGATTTTATTATGCACATATAACCAGGTATTGTTGGTGAGCTATAGATCTTACTTCAAGGTCTGTTCACACTTCTAAGCAAATACCAGCACATACTTCATCACATTTTCTACTGCATGTCCTCCCTATGAAGGATTGCCCACACAATAGGTGTTCCCAATTGTGATGTAGCTCACTTGTTACCTTCAATCCTAGTTAAGCACACTGTTGTTCAACCTCATTTGTGATATGATTTTTCCTTTTTGTCAAGATCCGTTCAGTCATTGCTTGCTAGACAGTACATGTACATCAGTCCTTTATTTCCTCTTGATGGTTTGTGCCTTAGGTATGTGTAGTGTGCTGGTCTCTGTGTGACTTCTGCAAGGTCTGCACCAAGCTCTGCTTTGTCGTCATGTACAGTAGAATCTGTGTAAGAAAGATGAAAGAGCATGACTATGTTCTGGTTCCTCTGGAAATTTAAAGTAGTAAAAGGCCCTTTTATATATCACAGTTACAGGTGCTCAATTGCACAAATAAATTATGTTGTTACATGCACAAAGGGCAGCGTACAAGAGGCCAGCAAGATTGCAACTTAGATAACTTACCAGGAAGTCTACTTATCTTGCTGTATATTTGGAATGTCAGGACTACCCCTCCCAACACATCTTGTGCTTGCTGGTAGTCATGAGATATAAACTCAGCACTTCAGCTGTTAAGTTTTGGTTGGGTAAGCCTGCCATGTTAGTAGTGCAGTTGTCACTGATGTATCAGATTATATTGTGTTTTATCAGGATTAATGACATGTTTCAGTCATGTGGATAGCACAGTAGGAATGAGAAAGTACTTGTATGGAACATAGCTTGTAAGACAACATTTCTTAATGCATAGTGACCGAGATCTGATGCCAATCTTTGCCTGAGCACATTGTTTTTTTGACTGTACAAAACGATGCTACCAGACATAATTTTTGTTCCACACCGAGGTAAAATATGGTTGGGCTGGTAAGACATCACTACTCCTTACCACACCCCTCGTCATCTTGGTTGGAGCCCCACTCACCTTATATGGAATTTGGTTTTAGGTACTATTTTCTTTGAATAGGGGTGGTGGAAGGACTGCAGACCACCTGATAGGTTAAGCCATGCCTCTTACAACCCTATAACAACACATGTTGACAGAGAAGTGTTATAAATATTTGGTTCTGTTTATAAGACTCTGACAAGCAATGACTGAAACCTAGTGAGTGTAAATCAATGTAATTACTATAATATGTGAGGACCATTTTTGCTTGTATTTGCTTTACTACTCTATTAACTGGTAGTTTTTGCTGTATCTGTTTATTATGACAATAAAGATTATGCTTAAATACCTGATACTGTCCCAATGAGTCTCTGAAAGTTAGTTATGCAGGATTTCAGATAAGTAGAGGCTGAAATGACATTATTTGGTTAAAGGGGCCATCATATAAGCCTCTGGCTCACTATTAGACCAATCAGTAACAAGAAGGCAATCAAATGTGTCAGACGTCATTGTGTATATATACAATCTGATGGATAAATGATAATTGAGATTATCTATTTTAGTGTAATGCATGGGGGATGAAAGTAAGTTTTCTGGGAACCCCTGTTCCAAAACAAGAAAACGCCGATGACTGGACAGCTCTATACCACAGATGGTGACGTCATCGACGCTGTTAGCACCTACGTACTTACGCGGGATCCATGCCCTTCAGAACAGGTGGGAGACTCATCAAAGGGAAGCAGTGTTCGAAAGCATAACAAGGTACTACACCCCCGTTAGATAAAAACACGACGTCGACCCTGCTTCGTTTCAGGTCAATCCCAGCTAATAAACACGTGTCTCTAGTATGGCACTACTGATACTTTACCAAGGATCTTAAATAGACTTTACAAAGAAAGTGTTCTTTTCTTGATCCCCACGACTTACGACTACATGTACTTCAAATCATCGACTAGGCGTAACGTCTGATTTCAGGACAAAATATACCCTCCCCCGGCCAATAAGATCACGTGTGGAGTACATTTCTTTGGTTTTCCCTCGTAGTAATCACCTTACCCGTATATATGTGAAAATCAGTCGCTTCCGAATATCCTTTAGTTGCACTTTAATTTATGATTTAGAATCTGTAAGTAGTTTGTAGTATTCTTGGGGATCATGTCTTTTGTGTAAGCCACGTACGTCCAATCCTCTACTATTGTTAAAGCGACCGCTATCGTCGTGCCGGTCATTCTGTCACATTCAATAACGCATTTCAAACAGTAGACAGTCGTCCGAATTCGTAGCCAGGTGAAACCTATTTAACTGTCTGGGACTCCCACCTGTTTCATTTTGACTCATTGTATCATCCCACAGTGCCCCGCGTAAATAGCACCTGGGTAGAGTGGGTTGCTGCTGCGTGTGAGAACATCGCACGAGAGCTCTCGCCCACAACCCCTCTTTAATACTCCCTCTCAAGCCTATTTTCTTTGTATAACCGGCCTGCTAGGAAGAGACTTCGACCATGGGGCCTTCCTTCGCGTGTCAAGTCCTGCTAGGTTTGCTGTTCTGGTCGCATTTGTCAGTTTTTGCCACCCGCCAAAATTCAAAGGTAAGGCGCCATTTGTCAATCACATGTCAGGACAAATTCCAACTTGTTCGCATGGCGAAACCCCTGTATATGCATGCGTTTACGTTCTTACTAATATGTCAGTCCAACAGGCGATTAGTAAGTAGACTATACAAATAGTAGAAGACTTTTCAAACCAGACGATGTGAAGTCCGACATATGTGCAGATGCTCAACAGTTGTACGTCAGTTATGTCGCAGCGGTCCTTCGGATCAGCAGATTAAAACGTTGAGTGACGTTTGATCCTACGAAACTTTATATACAAAATTAAATGCATACCGTCTTAATGAAAACCATTTCTTCTTTCGACAGGTCAACGATCGTCGTTTGCAAGACACACCAGCATCACAAGACGGCAACTATTCCACAGGTTAGATTCCAACCCATTCAGTGTTCTCACCTCAACCTGGTACTTAAAACACAACCCTGTGCAGTTCCTGAGCTTTTAATTATTGTAAAGACTACAAAGGTACCACTTGCCAGTTTGCTTATGACATTGTAGTCGATATCAATTAGGGTAATAAAATTGCCACCACATTTACCTCTTCTTAACCTTAGCTCGTGTGGAGAATCTTGCTTTTATTTCATCCATTGTGATTGGAAACTTCACAGGCCTTTACATTTTGTGTAATTCACAATGATATAAAGAAAATAGTTAGCTTTTTTATGCCTTTCTACGTGCTATAGCTTATGTCATTGCATTTGATGGTTCACTCCACATAAACATCTTTCTGCAGGTCAAAGCCAGCCAATTGCTTAATACTCAACAGGAGTAAGTCGTGTGAAATAAACTGGTTCACAGTTTGAACTGTGCATGTGAGGTCGAAGGTGAAGGGCTAGTGTTTTGTCTATGGCCCATATTCCCACTAGGATAAAAATTGTCCGGATCAAGCTGAATTGACTCTATTTGATCCTGCTTCAATCTGGCTCGAATTCTAAGTCCCATGGGCCTTCAACTTTGACATACTAGTATTACCCACTGTACATCACAGCACACATACACAAACCATGATTGATGTTCATCATGACTCCAGACTCGATTTAAGCTCTGTTTATTATTAAATAATACAGTGGTTTGTTCGTACAGATGTTCGTACATGTACATGAAAGTTAGAAGCAAAGTTTCTCTCCTCATGCAGATCTGCAAAAGCGACTGAGACGTGGCATCTTTTTTCAAAACTTGTGGAGAGAGTTGTTAGGAAGGAGAAACAGCACAGCGTCGGACAAGGGTTCTCCTCAGGACAGCTTCTCAGATGTAATATACATTTCTTCTTAGAAATTCTTACATTTGCCTTTGTACATAGTAGTACTCTCTTCCACTGCTCTTTTTTCCTTTAACAAATTTTCTGCATTGACAGGATGCTGACTGGTCCAATTATTTCTGGGATGTACCAACCTTACAGCCACCTGTTATAGACCAGAGTGACGAGAGCTTTCGGGGGGATGTTGCCGCCATTAAAGATGATGGACCTCAGTCTATGGGCATAGGACCTACGGAAGATGCAAACAGTACAGGTGCCATTGGTCAGGCAGGTTCGGACAGAAATGCTCAGTCAGGCAATTCTGTGCTTGATGTGTCAAATCTTAAGACGCAGGTAAAAGAGGTTTTCCAGCTGCCTCTAGATTTTCCAGTGGAGATCAGTCTCACACCCACAAATCAGCACAGACGTCGGGAAATTACCTACAGTCTAACAGAACCATTTGGGACATTCAGTTCACCTGGATACCCGCACCCTTACACCTCGGGCACCAACTACACATGGAACATCAATGTCACCAAGGGCAAGGATATCAAGCTGTGGTTCTCTGACTTTTCAGTCGGGAGAAGGGGTGAAAAGGGTTGCCTGGGATCCTCTCGGGACTATGTGGTGGTGACCGCAAACTCCGTGGCTAATGAGAGGTGGGTGCTGTGTGGCAGAGATTCCAGGCTCATCACCACCAGAGGCTACACAGCCGTGGTCCAACTGGTGTCCAGTCTCCACCAGGACAGGTTTAACAACACTGGATTTTTCGCAGCATATGTAGAGTTACCAATTCCATCCTCATCAAACATACCGGAACATACCAGGAAAGAGGCCATTTCAGAGCAAGAACAGATGACAAGTACATCTCGAATGATCACATTCATGACATTAGAATCTCCTGTAACCGATGGATTCCAGGGAGAAGTGAAACTATTGGATACTAATGATGGTATAGAGGTGACCCCCAGTCCATTTATAAATAGTTCATCCACAACTCCTACTACAGACCTTAACCAGAGAGGTTCATCTACAGTACCTACAAGTCTGACTGTGCCATCAGATGCTCCTACAGGTGCAGAAGATGCCACAGGTGCAGATGCCCCTACAAACAAAGAGGCTCCTAACAGTGAAGATGATGCTGCAATTGAAGATGATGCTACAGGTGAAGTTACTCCTACAGATGCTCCTATAGACGATGCTCCTCCTACAGATGAAGATGCTCCCGTAGAGAAAGTTACTCCTGTACACGAAGATGCAACAAGTGAAGATGATGCTACAGGCACAGAGGATGCAACAGGTGCAGATGATGCTGCAGGTGCAGATGATACCTCAGGGGAAGTTGCTCCTCCTGGCAAGGATGCTGCTACAGACACCGATGGTTCCTCAGGAAAAGATGCTTCTACAGTCCCAGTTACGGCTGCAGGCCTAAACCAGAGTGTTTCATCAGACACTACAGGTCCAATCATAAATACTAAAGACCTCACTCAGAATGGTTCATTAGATGCTGCTACAGGCCCAGGTCTGAATATTTCCTCAAATGCTACAGGCCCAAGCCTAAAAACTAAAGACGTAACCCTGAATGGTTCATCAGATGCTGCTACAGGCCCAGGTCTGAATATTTCCTCAAACACTACAGGCCCAAGCCTAAAAACTAAAGACCTAACTGTGAATGGTTCATCAGATGCTGCTACAGGCCCAGGTCTGAATATTTCATCAAATGCTACAGGTCCAAGCCTAAAAACTAAAGACCTAACCCTGAATGGTTCATCAGATGCTGCTACAGGCCCAGGTCTGAATATTTCATCAAACGCTACAGGCCCAATCCCAAAGACTAAAGACCTAACCCTGAATGGTTCATCAGATGCTGCTACAGGCCCAGATCTGAATATTTCATCAAATGCTAAAGGCCCAATCCCAAAGACTAAAGACCTAAGTCTAAATGATTCGTCAGATGCTGCTACAGGCCCAGGTCTGAATGTTTCATCTAATGCTACAGGCCCAATGCCAAATACTAAAGGCCTAACTGTGAATGGTTCGTCAGATGCTGCTACAGGCCCAGGTCTGAATGTTTCATCTAATGCTACAGGCCCAATGCCAAATACTAAAGGCCTAACTGTGAATGGTTCATCAGATGCTGCCACTGGCCTAACCCTGAATGGTTCATCAGATGCCACAAACCCAACCCTGAATACTACAGTCCTAACCCTGAATAGTTCATCAGATGCTGCTACAGGCCCAGGTCTGAGTGGTTCAACAGATGCTACAGGCCCAACTTTGAATGGTTCAGATACTTTTACAGTCCCAGGCCCAGGCCTGAATGTAACAGGCCCAACTCTGAATGGTTCATCTGTGGGTAGCGGATTTCCTGGGGAAGCGAAAGTGCTGGATACAAATGAGGTGGATGGTCGAGTGGTGTCCCAAACCCCCGGCACAAGAAAACACACGAGTTTGTCTCCAGTAACAGTCGTCACAATGGACCTCTTACCCAAGGGGCAGAGCACGGAGTATGCACCAGGGGGTGAGTATGGCAACTTGCTGTTTGTAGAATAAAATGAATACTGTTTAATAGCCTCAGAGAATTGGAATTATTGGCCTGACTAAATCACACTTCTTTCATGTAGACTTGCCTCTAGTCAGGCCCCTGTAGAGGGGGGCTCTGGTACAGTTATATATACTCTACACATATCCAGAACTGTTACTGGTGCAACTCTATGTTCTTGTATACATGGATACTATCCAGAACCATGCCTGATCCTAACCTGTAACCTACTCAGGTATAGAACTAGATAGGCACATTTCTGTATAAAATAGGCTCCATAGAACCCTAGACAGAGATTGTGTAACACAGACTAGACTGAGGTTCATCTGTGTCAGCTCTTTCAAATTATCAAATCATAATTGAAAGCTGTGAATTTTCTGTCAAAACTCACTAAATAGTTATCTAATACTTAACCCAACATAACATATTGATAATGAACACAATTTGTTCCACTTCTTTTTAAACAGGTTTCCGATTGTACACCATGATGTTTGATCTGACTCTGTCGGACCCAGACTCTGTTTATGGAGATGAAAATGTGCGAGACATCATCATAGGGTCCATCTTGGCTGTGGTACGTCTGCATTGTTGGAAACAATAAGTAAACGTATTTTGTTATTTTCAATTATCCATCAAACTTTATTCAACTCATTAAATGAAAAATGTTTGGGAAGGAAAATTCAGTTTTTATGACAAATACCATACTGCAAATCATTTATATAGTGGAGACTCAATTTTGGGCTGAAATGCCATTTTTGCAATTTCTGGTACATATTGTACTTTAGCAATACATTGGAAACATGTATTTGCAGTATCATGATTTCATGGTGCAGAGGCCACCGGAAACATTTCAAGATCTTTTTTCAGTATTTTGAGACTACACTTACATCATGAATGTATTCTAGATGGAGGCAAGCCTGAAGAACAGTTCTTTCAAAGGAGACTATAGGGACATCCATGGTCTGAGGCTTATCAGGTAAGGAGAAAGCTACATGCCTACTTTAAGGCTGTCCGTATTTGCTAGTGACATCACTCCAGTAAGTCCTTATGATGTTCTGATGTTTGTGGTCTTCTATGTCTGACTAGTCAGATTCTTGATTGGCAGATCTGTCCATAGATTTCATAATATGCTGCATTGACAGGTAACAATCGGAGTGCTCAATAAATGCCTTTGCTTCAACTTTTGAAGCCAAAACAGGTAGAGACTAAACTAATAAAGTGTCAGTGTCATCGGAAATGCATCCTGCATACACCTGGATCTCTTTTGGCTTAACTTTGATGATGAAGATTTACATGGTAGCACATGTACAAATGTAGGCTTCACTTGTGAAAATGTCTTGCAGCAAAGACAGCAATGTTGCAACATTGGAGACAGCTGTCGTCATGATGCCTTCTTCAACTGTGAGCATGAAAGCCATTGAGAACGTCATAGAAAGAGCCATGCAGTCGACGAGCCAGTGGAACACTACAGCAGCAAGTGCTTTTGCTTTCCAAGCTGCATCTATGAGATCCTCTGGTAAGAAATCTGTCGCGTCAACAAGTATCCAATATAAATATACCCTGTCCTATAACTATGGTTGTGGCAAAATTCATGTTGTGTTCAACAGCATCTCCACTGTTACAGCACTTTGTGAGATCACAGAAGAATATGAAGAGTATTATCACTTCAGACCTCTATTGATCCTCCATGAGCCTGCATCCACACAATTATATGTATCTGTATCACATACATGTACAGTAACACAAAACCATTGCCTCCTTCCCAGATCTGGATGAGTGTGCCTTGGGATGGCACAGTTGTCACCACCATGCAGACTGTGTGAACACGGATGGGTCCTATACCTGCCCGTGTAAGAAGGGTTACGTTATGAGCAACAATGCCACACAGCAGGTTTGTGTGGAAAAAGGTAATTTGGACTCATTTTCAAGATAAACATTGTACTTACTAAAACATTGTTGAAGTATCTTGCAAGGTGCAAAGGTAATTTTTGGAGACTAGCTTACACAGATGTTACTCTGTATTATATGTGCATACAAAAGTCTTGACTCAGATAATAATGACTCAGAAAATGAGTACCTACCTTAAGGATGTCCTCTCGGATGGGCTATCAAGCCAGATGTCTGTTTTTGAGGATAGGCTCACTTCAAGCATGTTTAAGATCCCACCATGCAGTAAGAGTGTGGTCTGTTTTGGAGTGAATCAAAGCTCTCAGCTTGTACCTACTGAAAACGTGTGTTATGCCTAAAGGCAGTTTACCCATGTTTAAACCATCTTGGTACAGTGGAAACTTCAACTTTTGTTACTCAAGTAATCTAAAATGGTTATGGTTTTTTTTTGCTGCAGCAGAAACTGTTGACACTGACATGTGGAGGAAGGTGACCCTGATTGTGTCGCCCATCGCCGTTGCCTTGCTGTTGTGTTTGGTGCTGCTGGTGGTTTGTATGACCAGAAGGAGGCACTACCGCTACAAGGAAGATTACACCATGAGCGGGGCTGGGAGACTCACCCCAGGCAGCTTCATCCACAACAGTCAGCCACGGTCCAGGAAAGAATGGCAAGAGAGGGGTGATGGAGGGGACCCAGAGGGCACCACAGCGTTTACACGAGTGTAGATTGTGACTTCACAGACAGATGTTTGTTTAAGTATCTGGAATGTTTTGGATACAGTCTAAACAGCTCTTTGCAGTATGTGCTGACAAAGCAAGAAAACGGTGATCATTAATTGATTTTCATCAGAAAATTACATGACATTGTACAACAGGTGACTGTCGTAATACAAGTACTGAAAGCTCTCGTGGGCAAGATTATAATAGCTTTAATCACACGTTTTGTATTTTGGAAAATAGTAGACAGACTTCCATGTATTGAGAGTAATTTGATGAGTATAACATGACAAAATGATTGCCAGTTTTTTCTGATGATATGCAGTAGTCTATACCAAGTGATAAATTAGATGTCTATAAAAAATGCTAAACTTTTTGCTATAAATGAAGAACTTATACAATAGTTAAAGAAAATCTTTGTGTCAAGATATTAAAATTTGATGTGTTCAGCTGGATTGTTCATCATCCTTCTTTGCATTAGCCAGTTTTTCAGAATTTTCAGCCTTCTCTAGATCTTTTAAGCACAGTAAGATTTCTTTCTTAGACAGGCCATCGTGGTTCTTCTTAGCAAGAGCTAGAGCTTCTTTTAATGTCTTCTTGGCTTCTTTGAACTGTTTCTGGTGCACTAAGGTCATTCCCATGTTACACAAGATGGCAGGCAGGTCTTCCACAGACAATTGTTCTGCCACTGCCTTGGCCTCCTCAAAACAGGTCATGCCTTCTTCATACAATCCTTGTTCCACATACATCGTCCCCAGGTCGTTGAGTAGAACCCCTGTCTGTGGATGGTCATTCCCCTGCACAGTTCTACAGATCATCAGAGCCTTACTCATCAGAGTCCTGGCATGGAACAGTTGTCCTTGTAAAGCAGCAAATGCAGCATAGTGGTGTAGACACATACCTGTGCAAACATATCAACCATAAAATACTTTTTTTCCACATCCCTACACTACACAAATTTTACCTGCACCACTAGGAATTTTTGAAGTACTAGTATGGACCATACTGTCATCATGACCCAACAATAGTAAGGATGAAGAATTACCTAGCAACAAAATGGTATCCTCGTCAGCAGCCTTGTTGGCCACCTTCTCCTCCAGGGTCTTCACACACCACTGATAGCCCTGCCATGCCAGCTGTGTGCGCCCCTGATTGCCGTAGATCCCAGCGATCTTAAGAGATATTTCCAGAACGGCGTTGTCATCTTGGTCAGTTCCGGAGGACACCAGAACTTTCAGGGTTTCCTTGAACAACCTTGAAAATAGAATTTGAGAAACAGGTGTGACTTGGATTATGACTTTGTCAGGGTAGGGATGATCATGATCAGGTGTGTTTGGCTGAAATCCCAAACTGTAGACTAGTGAAGCTGCCTTGCAGTACACTACAACAACCTACCTGACAAAGCATCATGCGCAGTTCAGAATGACTGCTCCAACTTATTGTTTTGTCATAAATTTTGTGTTGCTTACTACTAAGCATTGTTTGGTAACTTTAGTTATATGTTTTATAATGGTTGTCAGCTATTAATTTAAATGCCCCCTTGGGGACAACTTGCCAAATTTTTATGGGATAGCCTAGGTTATGCATGACTGAATGACAGAAACAGTAGAGAGAAAAGACAGAAAACCTTTCTGCTTTACTCCAGTGCTCGTTCTTGAGCGCCAGTTCGCCCAGCATGTCGTACACATAGGCCGTGGCGTAGTCAATCTGCCGTGCTTGGGAGAGTTTCAGGGCTTGGTGAAGGATGATCTCCGCTTCCGCGCTTTTATCTTGGTCCATCAAAAGTTTAGCACGTTTAACCATCAAGGTTATGTCGTCGTCCTTCGGAGCTTCTTGACTGTCCTCCCCTTTCAGAGAAGAGAAAAGTCCGAAGACCCCGGCAGCCACGGTGGTCCCTCCGACCAGAGATCTCAGTCCAGGCGGCAGACGGGGAGCTGCCCTCGATAAAACACAGGTTCGCTGAGAATAATAGCCGTGGCACTTCCTTAACACTGATCTGAAATCATTTACCGTACATCTCCTGTAGAAGAGATGGGCAGTTGGTCTGCAAGCAGACAGCAAAACCTGGACCATCGAAGCCATGTTGATTTGACATCTGACCTTTCCCCAAATAACATCGGTACGAGACCTTCAGAAAATTATTCTACTTCCGGTCGAAAGGGAAATGACGCATATGTTGCAGGTTCCGCTTTTGTGTCCATTTCTTTTCCTTCGTTGAGTTTTAGTCGGTCCTTTCCCCCCAAAGAGTGGTCTTGATTGGGACCACTAGAGGATCCAAAAGAATCTCTTAGTTTTTGTGTTAGTCTGAGCTCGAAAATACTTTGCGGTTTATGAGACGGCCATAACATAAGCAGGTAAAACCTCCCGTCAAAATTTTGACGTGCCAGCCGCTTTTTGCGGCGTGAATGTCTTACTACAACTCCGGCTCTGACTCGGAACACTGCAACGAGAGAACCAGCCTGATGGACTTACAGGTGGACGTGCGACCCATGGCGGGCGAGGCCGTCACTTCTCAAAGGGGCTCACGGAGCAGTGGCCGGCGGGGTCAGCAACAAAACATCCAGGTGACTAGTCTTCCTGTGGCGTAGGTCTACTGGTCTCATCGTAGCTTGATGGCGGCATAACGTAAGGGTACAACAACTAGATCGTTTTCTCAAAGAAAATCGTCCATCTGGCAGTGTTCCAAATCTTAAACACAAACCGAATAATTATAATAACACAGCAAGGAAACGTTTTTTAATCCCAACATCTGCTTGGAGAATAGGTTGAACTTGAAGGGTAACGTTCCACAACAGCACTGAAAATTACTGACAAGAAACCTCAACTTAGTTCATGATCATCAAATATGCATCAAAAGTATTCAGATGACCAATATTAATTAGTGTTTCTCACTTGAAAAAAAAATCTTATAATATAGTAACGTTACATGTAGTTAAACGCAGGTTGGGTTGGGTGGCAAAAAGTACAGAGATTAACAGGGCTCTCGGATGCTTGTCTTTTGCCAAATCTACCAGGAACATGAACGTGGAGGTGCCGAGGGCAGAGAGGCGGGGGATGGAGGAGAGGATCCTGGGATCAGACACAGGGAAGAGGAGGAGGAGGAGGAAGACACAGAGATGACCCTGAAGTACGGAGCCAAACACGTCATCATGCTGTTTGCACCAGTCTCACTCTGCATGGCTGTGGTGGTGGCTACCATCAGTTCCATCACCTTCTACACAGAAAAGAATGCCTACCTGTGAGTACTACCTGTTACTAGTGTTAGCTTTTTCTAGACTAGTTGACACTGTATTTTTAATGGCCCTTCTTTGAATACTTGAATTAAAAGCCCTTTATTTGTCATAGAACATGTACAGTTGGCTGGCCAGAAAAATCCACCACTATGCCGAAGTTTCAATCATCTGGCTAGATCATACACACCAATAATGTTGTTAATGAATGGTGTAAGACCTATTGACCTGCTGACCTATTGCGTCCAGAATCTACACACCTTTCCACGAGGAAGGAACAACAGCGGCCAGCAAAGTTGGTGATTCTCTGGCCAATGCTGCCATCATGGTTGGGGTCATCTTAGTCATGACTGTCTTCCTGGTCATCCTGTACAAGTACAGGTGTTACAAGGTGAGCCCTACACACACGCCTGGTCATCCCGTGTCATACAGAATAGCTTGGTGAAGATATTTTCAGATTGCAGGTAAACATATGCATAACTTGCACTCGCTGTCCGGTTTACTGTCTAGGTATTATGAACAATAAAGTGGAAGAGATTGCTTGTACATGTACAAGGCTGTGCAAAAGATATTAAAGACACTTTCAATATCAAGTTTCATTCTTACAGTTTATCCATGGCTGGCTGATCCTGTCCTCACTGATGTTGCTTTTCCTGTTTGCATACATCTATCTGGGGTAAGGACAGTTTTGTGAACCATTTACTTACAGTGAAGTAGCAGTGTCTTCCCAGTCTGTATTCAACTTGCCAATGTGAGATGTCTTTGGGCAATCTGAAGTCCAACCTAATGTATATACACGTACTCTCATCTGCCGAATAAACATACCCCCCGGAATAAACGTACTCCCCGGACAAATCTTCAAAATCAAATAAACATACCCCCGGAATAAACGTACCCCCCGGAAAATTACCAAAATTGACGGGTAACCTGTGTCTCTTGTACTAAAATGCGCCCTTACTGATATATGCAAAAATCTTTAACTGTTATTTGCAATTAGGAATTTAAATAGACAAAAAAAAGAGCATTTAATATTTCGTATTTTGATAAGCACCACTCATGACAATAGAACATTCAGACGAATTTATGCACGCGGTGATTGCAAAAACCGGCCCGAAAATGACAAGTTTCTCGCTAAAATACGCGTTTATAGACGTCTTCACGTCGATGATTTGTCAATTTTTTTCACACGAAGTTGAAAAAAATGACTGGTTTTCAAAAAATTAATAAACGTACTGTGCAAAATAAGAACGTACTGGGTGGATGTTCGGGCCCAAAAAATAAACGTACCCGTATGTTTATTCGGCAGATGAGAGTAGGTGCATGTGGGTTTTTATTTGCTGTAGTAATGCAGACCTCCCATGAAGTTTAACAGAAAGAATGGCAATGGCTTCTGAACAGTTTTAGTATGATTCCACAGTTCACATTCTGTGATGCAGGTAAAATTTGTCAGGTGCAGGTATGCAGAACGAAGTATTTCGATCCCTGTTTTGGAATACTGTTTTATACTTATGTTAGAAACTCTGAACATCTTGTTTGGTTCCTGACCTTAGCGAGGTCCTTCAGGCCTACAACATTCCGTGTGACTACATCTCCCTGGCCATCGTGATGTGGAACTTTTGGTGCGGTGGGGATGGTGTGTATCCACTGGAAGGGACCCCTGCTTCTCCAGCAGGCTTATCTCATCGTCATCTCCGCTCTCATGGCTCTCGTCTTCATCAAGTACCTGCCTGACTGGACCACCTGGTTCATCCTGGGGGCCATTTCATTATACGGTACGACTTCTAGCTCAGGCCATACTGATTTGATTTATATGGATAATCATCCTCTGGGCACCTTTGTCCAGCTTTGGGACTTTCCAACCCTGAGTGCTATTTGACATGTTTTTAGAAGCAAATTTTTATACATTTGTCATTCATTACTGTATGTTTGCTACCAGTATGTTCCACAGACCTTGGTTTGACTGTAAGTTTGCTATGTTCCACAGACCTTGTTGCAGTGCTGTGCCCCAAAGGGCCCCTGAAAGTTCTCGTGGAAACAGCACAGGAAAGAAACGAGCCCATCTTTCCCGCACTCATCTACTCCTGTATGTACACAGCATCCAACTTGCCACACAAAACAAATAGAATCATTATTTTGCTATTACAGGTATTATTCCTTGAAAAATCAATCAATGAAGATGAAAGTATAAAGATATATCATAACAAGAACACGATAAATAATTACTTTGAATAACAGTTTATGCTATGTAAAACCACAGTGTATGTAATAACCTTTGTCTGTTCCCCTAGCTACAATGATGTGGTTCGTGGGCATGGCAGATTCGGACCCAGAGGCAAAGAAGAAGAAGAAAAAGAAGAAGAAGCGTCGAGCTGAGGGCCAGCAGGCTGCAGGTGGAGGTAGACTCCTCGATAACGAAGCTGGGAGCACGGGGGATGACAGTGATAGGACCTGCGACTCAGGCATGCTCACATTCCAATATCCACCTCACCCTCAAGTTTAATAATCTGCTACCATTGGATAAAACTTTGATCCTTACTTTTTTTATCTTTCCTGTTTCCTCTTGAAGTTTTTAGTAATTACTATTTTTTCTGTCTAGTAGAAGTTTTATCCAGTAGTAGTGAATTATTAGTAACCAACTGGTTACTAGTATTAACCGTTACATCCAATTATCATAATTCCTTTTGATCCTTGCCAATCCTGTGTTGATTATGGAGAATTCCTGGTGTCACAAAAGACACCTCTTTCTACATCTGTCTTTTCTACATCAAGTAGAACAGAAATGAGTAAAGAATTTGATTGTCATTGACATTAAGTTGAAGATTTGAGAGAAAGGGTGATGGTGATGCCACAGGTCCAGCGTGTACTAGTACATGTCTTTATGGTGTGACTGGTGATGTCTGTATGTATGAATGTTATGGCTGGTGATGTGTATATTGCTTATTGCTTACTAGTATTTCAAGAACTGTGTCTTGTTTGACCATCTCTGCCCTGTCTACCTCTATCCATTGCTCTGCTCTCTTACATTACACTCAAATTCATGCTCCAAAAACAAGACCTTTACACAACCGGTACTTCATACATTGACCAGTACTGTCATGGAACAATGGTCTGTGTTATTTGGTACTCTACAGATGCCTTTTTAAACTAAGGTGCTTACCATTAGAATACCAGCTATGGTGAGAATTATTGAGAACCACATACATGTATCTGAACACATTCTCCACAAGTTACCTGAATGCAACCAAATTATAATGGTCTAAATAGCATATACTGTAAGTCTCTTTAGATTCGCGGGGCCTAAAGTTCGCGGTTTCGGGAAAATGGACCATCCGCGGTATTTTTAGATTCGCGATTTCTCCTTGGCTATTTTTCAAAGAAAAATTTGTAAAGTGTATATTTAAAATAATAAAAGTTCGTGTTCCGGCATTTATATCCTAAAACGCGGCGCAAAAATTTGTTTCGTGCACCGCACGAGACTGCCGGCGGTATAGCTGACGATCAATCTGACGCACGTGTAAACAATTTTCTTTGTTCGGAAATAAGCGCTAAAAATCTATTTTCCACGACTACACATCGATACACTAGTGAAGAAATGCATAATCGAAAGAATCTTTCGGGAAAATATATATTACTAAGAATATTTATGCCGTCTTCGGCGAGATTTTGAACCCGGAAGTATGCAAAGGTCGCCTACGGTTTTGTAGGGGCCACGGTAGCGTTTCTATCCAGCAAAACAAGAAAAAAAAAAAAACGCCCGCAAAGCAGGGCGCAAAAGAGAACCAACTAACACTTCCCAGGTACCAGCAGTTATATTTTTCATCAAAATATTTGTAGATTTGCCCGATGTGCCCGCAATTTTCAAGCGCCCGGGCGCGCATGGCCGGCGCTCAGCACACAGAGATTTTTGTCCGGCGGTGCACGTTTGACTCGGCCAGTGCCGCAGTATCACGATTCGGTGTCTCAGTATAACTTAAAAAAATTTTGGTACTCAACATACGTACATTTGCTAAGAATGGAGTTGATTTGCAGTGATTTGTGTTTGTCGCGTGTGTTTGTGTTTCGCTTATCGTCGTGAATGCATGTGGGGAGGGGGGCGCACTTACGCAAAACATATTCGCGGGGAAATAGATTCGCGGTACAAAGGTCCCCGCGAATTCCGCGAATCTAAATATACCGCGGAAATTTGTAGACTTACAGTACCTTGTACTAGTACTACCTACAAGACCTAGTACTACCTACAAGACCAGAAACACAAATAGGTTAAGGAAAGATATTTCACTGTCCCTCAGTGTTGAATCTTGTCTGTTGAACTTGTCTCCTGTGCATTCTTACTTTCATTAGTATGTACTTCAAGTAGTGTAGATATTAGACTAGTTGTATTATACTGTACCAGCTTGCCATACATTGTAACAGTTACAATTGTTGTGCAATAATGTTGATTGACATGGTTTGATTGACTCCTGCAGCCACCCCAGCAGGTGCGACGGGGGGTGAGGAGGAGGGGGGGTTCGGCCCAGACTGGCAGGAATCGCGCGGAGCCCGCCCTGTCCGCCGGCCCAACAGGGGAGGGAACGTCTCGGATGCATCGATGAACAGTGAGGATGCACGGTCAGCAGCACAGGCTCTGTCTAACGGGAGAGTGTCGCCTGGTGGGAATCAACACAACAACAACAACAACAGATGGAGGATGAAGAAGACGAGGAAGAAAGTATGTCATAGACATTGGTCCACATAAAGTAATCTCTGTCCAAAACAGCAGTTACTCCTTGGAAGTCAAATCCTTCATATGAATGATCTCTCTCTGATAGTCCCATGAGCAGGATGAAGAGGAATAGCACACCTGCATTTTGATTGTTTAACCAAACTAACATCATATATTTCGCCAGGTGAATCATATTTTGGCTGCCGTTTTTGTGAATGAGTTCCCATCCAATCATCTGCTTGAAGATTACCTTGTTTTCCTTCCTCCCCATGAACCTATAGGGCCAGTAAAAACATCACATAACCCCAGTTTTGATGATGCGATCTTGTTATTTTTGTTCCCAGGAGGTGTAAAACTGGGGCTGGGAGACTTCATCTTCTACAGTGTTCTAGTTGGGAAAGCTTCCTCCAATGGGGACTGGAACACAACCCTGGCCTGCTTTGTGGCCATTCTTATTGTAAGTCACCTAATTCATTTTAAGGCATGGGCATGGTCTGCATGGGGGTAGGGATAGATACTGATACTGTGGAATTCTGTAAAAAGTCTGCCACACAATCTTGCAATTATTGTATTCGTTGGAAATTATCTATTGGAAACTAGCACCCTTCTCCTGACTTTAGGACTCCTACACTTATGGTATGATTAATCTCTTATGTGTACAAGATGTTGGTGCTGGCTGGCTAGAGATTGATGAATGACATGTTCCTTCTGCTGTTGTTTAGGGTCTGTGTCTGACTCTGCTGTTGCTAGCCATCTTCAAGAAGGCCCTGCCTGCGCTCCCTATCTCCATCACGTTTGGACTCATCTTCAACTTCGCCACGTCCAACCTGGTCACCCCCTTCACTGATGCCCTGGCCAGCCAACAGGTCTATGTGTAGGGTGGGCTGTGTAGGGTCATTACTTAGGCTGGAGTGAATAAAGTATGTACTGTAATTTTGAGCACTGTAGCATAAAGGATCTGTCCGGCCATTTGTACCATATCCAGTGCAATCAGATTGACAAATTGACAGATACTACAGCCTTTATTGCAATGTTGTACATGAGCACACTTAAGAGAGAGGGCAGCAGCATTCACTTAATGTAGAGTAGTGGTAAAGAAGCTTCTTTGATCTTTGATTGATGATCAGTGCTTTTAATATACATACACGTATCATGCCTTCATGGAACACAAGGAAGTACTGTAATAAAAACAATGAAATACTAAATACTCAATATCATGATGGCATGTACCGTATCTTTAATCATAGATGATCCAAAATGTCAGAATAGTCTTTAGACACAATACTTTTGTTGGTTGCCTAAGATCCTGTTTCTATATTGGATATATAGTATACTATTACTAGCATGTATAGTATAGTAGTGTACTCATCAATCATTATGTATCAGGATTTATGTGTATTTTCAATTTCAAGTTACTGTTGTAAATTTAGTTTTTATTAGAGCTTCACTTTGAGTGGTCCTGTGTGATGTTGATATATGATTGAGCTGATATCCCAGTTTGTAAATGTGCAGTTTGATTTAGCGACATTAAAGGTTATTTAAACACATAACGCTGTAACAGAATGATACATAATGAATGTGAAGACTGGTTACCAGTAGTACTCCCTTTTGTAAATCCTGTTTTGCTGATTTTCCTTGGGAAAGAAAAGAATTAAATTATAACATTCCAAGTAGCAACATGTAGCTACATTGGTAGGTCTGTCTTGGACTTCAGTTTCCACAAGGAGTGGAAGTATCTGTATTTAAGTAGTGCAGACATTTAGTCTGTATTTTGGGTGTCTTCACATGTAATAAATACCTGCACATATTTTGTTGCCATGCTATTTGTTTCCTTTTCTCATTTATTAGCTTTCTCTTTTTAAAATCATTACACTGTAACACATTTCTTTGCAATGAATTCAAGGGAAATACACTATACATGTACATATTAAAAGCATGCTTTGAAGTGTGTAGATTTTTTTCATTTGTCTGTTATAATATCAACGCAAGTGTAGATTCTGTTTTCAAAAGCACAATGCATACTTGTGAGACAAAAATCTGATGTCAAGAGGCACACCACTTTATGTTTCTCAACAATTTCTTTTATTCATATTTCCCCCTCCAAGTTACAACCTGGAAGTGTTGCAGATTCTGTGTAATCAAGCTTACTAGGTAATATTGCCCATATTCTTTAAAACAATGACACATGGCTGAAAGTATGGGGAGAAGAGTTGGAATGTTTCATGATGAAGTTGAAAGTTCACAATAGTTTATGACAGGTGACCTTGAGTTTGAAGGTCAAGTTTCTCCCAGTTGCACAACTACAGGAGCATCCTCCTCCTGCTCTGTGTCAAAGTCCCACCGGAAGGTCTTGGTCAGGTGATCCTTGAACTGATACCCTCGTTTCTTCAGCTGACGACTGGCAGCATCACAATTGGCCAAGTTCGAGAAGAAAACCTGAGATAGCAAAAATAATTTCTGGTAAATTTGTACATTGGTCAGTTGCACCAGCTGGTATTGCATACTGGTTCCTACAAAGAGGTTATTCAGGATCTTCTTTGCCCTGAAGTACACCTTTGGTAGTGCAACACAAGTGGACTACCTTTGTACAAGATTAGATGGCAACCGTAACTGTCCTTGGGTAAAACCACATTACAAAACCATTTCAACCAAAGCTAAGACATAGGATCTTTATGATATCTTCAACACCCACCCACAAACAGAAAGACAGCAAAGAACAAAAAAATGACAAACCTGCAGTGTAGTTGTGAGAAAGTTGTTGCTGGACACAATGTCCACGAAAAAGTCTTCAGGAATCTCCCTCAGTTGGAAGTGCATTGTGCTGATGAAGGCACTATACAGGGCCTCGTGTCTCGCCCAGAGCCTCGTCACATGAACACAGCAAATGGACCAGCTTCTTCCAGTGTTACAAAGGCATCAAAGACTTGGCCTACCTAGAAAAACACAAGTGGAACAAATACATTAAGTATACTGTCACACAATCTCTATTTTCTTGGGCCTGGGGTGCCTTTATTTTAGATTAACCCTTTTTTTCTAACAGTGTAGCTGATTATGTATGCTATCCTCTAATAATGATCATAACATTGAAATTTTAGCAATACTACCAAATGTACATGTAACAGTAGGAGACTAACAGGAGGCTTCTTTATTCAATGCACCAAGACAATCCTCACCATGAAGCAAACAAAGGCAAACTGTAACTCTCCCAGCAGGTCCATGTGGTTCTCTGCATAGTGTGTGCTGAGAAGTTCCTCCAACATGAAGCTCTTGTCCATACTGTACTTGGTGATGTCTGCAGGAGAGGCACCCTCAGGGTAGGTCCTGGTGGGCAGGGTCACAAACCTGATCTCTGTTCCCGCTACTGCCACCATTTTGGGCAGTCTTCCCTCGGCCTCTTTCATGGATCTGGGCAATTCACCCACAGTGTAGCAGACTTTTTCCTCACTGTCTCTGACAAGTTGAGTCGCAGAGGATATCCTCCCCGACACAGGCTGAAGTCTGGTCATCAGGCTCTCTGTGATGTGGTTGGTCAGAGACTTCCATTTCTTGTAGTTGTCGTAAGGGTATGGCCCAAGAAATTTATCAAGATCCTTTAAGCTAGATTCGAAGTTAGCGAGTTCCTCACCCTCTATTACATCTTCACTGATGCCTTCTAGTCGTTTGTCCCATCTCCTACAAAGAACAGAGGAAAATGTCAGGTACAAGACTGAAAACTATGTTTCGCCCACCATTTTAGCAGATAACAGAGCCTCTTGTCATCAAATACGGACATGGTATCTTCTCAAGATACATGTAGCTTGAACTGACTGCTTAAGTGACATGAATGAGGCATGAGAAGTCATTCAATGCTTTGCTGATGTGCTATACATTGTACTCAAAAACTAGCGAACAATATGCACAACACTACCACCTGCTTCCTCGCCTACAACCTCAAAGATACGTACACAGCAAAGCAAAATGGAAATAATTTCCATTTTCTGTTTGCCAATTTTCCTAAACACATGAAGTTACTCTTCCTCTAGCTTGGCCCTTTTCATCATCCACTGACAGTTTCCTGACATCCGTTACATTGTACATGTAGGTCCATACTTGCCTAACAAGGACTTCTTTGCTGTGGAAGTAGTGAAAGAAGCCGAGTTTGGGCGCTGCCTCCCTGTGTTCCTTGTTCACAGTGTTGTAGGAGACAAAATGAACTCCCTCTGGAATCATCTTCACTCCCTTGAACTTTTCACCAACCTGTTGATGGCACAGGATACAAAACTCATTTTGAGAGCAAAGAGAGAAAAAAGTTTTAGACTGCATTTGAATTTTTGAATTTTATAACTTCAAAGTGGTATAGAACAAGACCAAAATAGTAGTTGGTAGCAAGTACCAGTAGTGTTACATACTAGTATTCTGTTTGTATTCACACTCACAGACACACACACACATCAATTCACAAATCAATACACAAACCAATACACAAATCAATACAAAAACCAATGCACAAATCAATACATAAATCAATACAAAAACCAATACACTAATCAATACACAAATCAATACACAAATCAATACCAGGGAAGTTGGCTGTCTAGGAACTGGCACTGAGACTCGCCAAAAAAAACATACTTTTGAAAATTCATAAAACAAATGATACTTGAATAACTTAATATCACATAATTGCAGTGAGCCTAAGTGTATCCCTTGGGATGAAGTAACAAACCTGCCAGGAGTTGTAGTCGATGCCGAACTCTGTTCCCACGGGAACGTCAAGAAGGATGAAGAAAGCTCCTTCTTCAAAAAGCTGAAGAGCAGTTTCCTGGTTCATCTCCATCTGTGGGAAGAAGAAAATTTTATGGATTATTAAATTTAATGTGGTCTAATAACAATTTTATTGTGCTCTTCACTAAAACTGAGGTACATCAATACACTATTTTGTATCTACAATTTAGTACAAAAGCGTTATGCACCCCTCCCCCGGGCCCCCTCCCCCCCTCCCACACATGATGAAGGCTTCCAAATATTATGATCCATTCTATCCACATTACTTTATAAACTTCCATGCAACAACAAAATACATATCTTACTTCTTTTACAAGATGATCTGTAGAAATACTAGTACTAGCTTTCTTCACAAGCTAGTTTAGACACACATGGTGTTTTCCAAATAAAGACGTCCGAAGCTTCTCACGTTGACCCAACGTTGGATGATACCAAATTACTACAGGGTCTGGCCGACAGAGAAAATACATACATCAAATAGTAACAAATAGAATAAACATTTATATCGATGGAAATAATATGAAGTTACATGTATCATTCTACAATAAATTATTTTATACTGTTTCATTTTACTCTTTGAATACCTTTTTAATTTTTTTTACCGTGATATTTGCTGATTTACCCCAATGTGAAACGACTTAGACTAGTCCTAACCAAAATGGCGTCCGACGTTCGAGTCAGTGTGGAAGCCTTGCAGGAAAATCAAGTTCAAGAGGTGTCCCTGGACGGACAGGAGACTTACGTACAGTGAGTTAACTCTGTTAGATATTCAGAAAGTAAATGAGGAACTTTCGTTGACTACCAGATTCTTGATTATCGAAAAAGCAATGGTTTTATAATTCACCGTCGTATGCTTCAGCAAAAAATTATGTTGCCCCATGAGCTAGAAGGAAAAAAAATGCAAGGCTTTTGCAAGAAAGCTCCGTAACAGTCGCTACGGCTACCTGAATAGAAGGCATAATTCTTGTGAAATACAACGAAATACAAGTACTTATCTACAATGATTTTAATATGCTCCGAATGTCTCAATGTTGCCAGGTACAATGAAATATTATGCATTGTTCAAAGAAAGAAACAGGTTTGACTGCATACAGATAGCTTCTACAACTAGTACAAGTGTGAATAGTGACATAAAACACGTATGGCCGAAGTTTTCCTGACAACCTGTGGTGTTTCAGACCGCTGTCTATGTCGGAGAACCTGTCCAAGTTGGCCCACAGGATCGACTTCTCTCAGGAGGACTCAGATGTGGACATCCAGCTGGAGGCAGGGGAGGAGGAAGAGGAGGAGGAGGAGAGGAAGAAACAAGAAGCCCACTGGCCATGGGAGTCTATCAGAGACAAGCTGAGGTCTGTGACACAAAGTTAATTTCAGTAATTCAGGGAAACATCAACCTTATTACTAGTAATATTACCTTAACCCAAAGCTAAAAGGAGGAAAGTAGTGGTTTTGGCTGGTTTGTCTGTCTTTTGTGTTATTGACTATTGTGTATGTGTGTTTCTGTGACTCTCTGTATACACAATGCAGCATCGCCATACATGGATATACTTAGGGCTGCCGTTTTGTCTGTGGGAGTGGAAGTATAGTCTATGGGACAGCAGGTGTTACAATTTGTAACACTTATGAATCAGTAAAGACTAAAGGGGATGAAGTGCACCATTACTAATTGTCTAAGACTAAGCATTTTAACTCAATCTCTGGATACATTCCTCCCTCCATAGGACATCCCTGGTGGAGACCAATGTACTTCTGGATGTCCTGAAAATTGCCAAGGACAAGAAGTACATGGTTTTAGATCCAGTGTCACAGGAGCCGCAACCTCCCAAACCAGTCCTACAGTATGTGGCCAAGAAAGAGGTAGACTTTCAGACTTACTTTGTATGTTCAGTTTAATCTGTTGCATTCTGTTTAAATTTTAATCTGACCATTTCAACACTACTCATATCAATAACATTTTAACAGCAAACCATGTGGGTAGCCCATACAATATATTCATGGTACTGTACTAGCTAAGGAAGCCCTCCTATCAGTTGGAAAGGGAACTGCAGTAAACCTCGGTTACAAACATTTCCCAGAGCCTGTCAGGGGCAGCAGATATCCTACAGAAAGGAGCTGACCGTCTGGCCAAGTCTCAGGCAGAGTTCAGCGGTGGCAGCCGTGGGCAGGGCGACTTTCACAGGGAGCTCCTAAAACTCAGGCAGTACTGGAGGCTGCGAAGGGCAGGCAATAATATTTTAGGGGACCTCAGCTTCAAGTCAGGTTAGTACTTAGTACATGTAGTAGAGCACTATGCATCGCAATATGATGTGGTACAATAGAAATGTTATTAACAACTTTGAAGTGTGTATGCATGTTGCTTTTACATACATTGCCATATTTAGAATTCTAAATACTTTTAATTTGTGTCATGTTTGCATATACATGTAACTTATTTGCATAAATAAGAAGTGTGTATGTTCCAATAACTGTCCTCTTTGATGTTTGTTTAGCTGGTTCCCACTACTGGCACTCAGGAGTGTTTGAGGTGGTGAAGACAACAGAGGAAGACTTGACTCCAGGGAGCAGTCCTCTGGAGGTTCGCATCCCAAGTGACCTGGAGGGCAATGCCTACATACAGGTGGTCATAGAGGACCAGCTAGGTCAGTGGATAGTTTATGTTACCGTCACAGTAGGGTTAGCTTCACGAGTAACGGCATGGTTGGAGCGATGGATAGAAAGGACTGTTCAGGAAATATTTTTGAGGGAAAAATTGATTAAGAGTCATAATGGTAAATCCATGGTAAATTTCCTTAGGTTAGTTTCAATGATTCCAATGAAAACAACACAATTTCATGCTCAAAAACTTTGTCATTCACATCAACCCAGGAAAGGTCTGTAACCGTGGTTTTCTCCTCACCTATATGTTTGCATACAGAAACCATTATTGCTGTAAAGGCCGCCCTGTTACCCAACAGTCGGCGGGAAGCCGCCCCCGGTGAGCCTCCATGGAACGTCAAACTGGAGGCTGCACAGAACGTCTTATTCTGCAAGGAGCTGTTTGCACAGGTCTGAAACCTGTTGTTCTCTGTAGAATTCCCCTGGAGGAATTATTTTATTGGCGTACCATCAATTGTAACGCCTTTCAACTGTTTAGACAGAAGTGGTTAGCAAAGTGTTATTGATCAACTTTCAATGTTAAAGTGATTTCTGCTGAAGCTTCATGTAGTGGAGGGTCCATCTCAGACATGAAAAATAGATGTGTTGTCTACATTGTGTAATATATACTTGTCTAACATAATTCCACCAGGTGACATGTATCTGCCATGACATGTATCTGCCACCCTGAAAAAATGGGTCAAAAGAGATCTCAAAGAGCTGCCTATGTTAGTTGTTACTGTGTATGTTGATGTGTTCTGCCCTTGTTGTTCTAGCTGGCTCGGGAAGCTGTGCAGATGAAGTCCACCATCCCCCACCTTGTAGTAGGGAACCAGATCACTTCACAGGCTAGTGTTATCTCTATTACAACAATACCAATATAGGATATAAATCAACAGCAAAAATATGGGATTGGGAACATGTCATAGCTTTCTATGTACAGTGTAATTTTACTGGCTTTGTTTTTTGAAAAGACTGCATCACCCCATGTGTTGGGAGTGTTTGTGTCCTCAGTATTCCAACTGTAACTTTGTTTCCACAGATCTTCCCTGGAGTACAGCTGAGCATTGCTCTGTGCCACAATACTGTGGAAGAGGAGTCAAAGGTCAGTTCCATTGATAAGTATATTCCATATTTACCTCTGACAACAATACACAGTCTGGTACAATTTGGCACTATGCAACAACATGTACAAGGTGTGCTTGTACATGACTAGCAGTTTCTCGAACCCCCATGACACCAGTTCCTAGGGACGGGTTACCCCCTAGAAATTTTCTTCCCTTGCATGAAACCCTATATTTTTTTAACTAAAATCCTCAAAATGCAGGAAATAGTGTTTCAGGCAGTTGAATTTTCACAACTTTACACGGGAGCATATCTCTCCTCCAAAACGAAATTTTGATCCACTACATTGATGCCTTAGTATGATGCCTTTTTTTGTATGATAAGGATGAGGGAGTCTCCCCCCAAAGATGTCAACACAACCACGTGTTGGAGCACGCCCTGCACCAGATGTTACGTGAGGTCCACCGGGGGAACCTGAACCCGGCCCTGCCCCACCCCGTGACTGCACCGTTCAGCAGCAGTAAGAAGCGTCGGCTGGCCGGGCCACAGGGGATGGACAGGAAACAGTGCACACAGCTGCAGGAGAGCGAGGGGCTGCTGGAGAGGCTGGAGAAACAGGCCAAACACACCCTTCTCAGGGCCAGGTGGGAGGGACTTCAGGACTTCACATTTCAGGGCTTTGCTCTTTTGAAATTGACATGTAACAATCCATGCTTTCATACAATACATGTATCTCAAAAAAATGCCTAATTGCTAGAAGCTTCACCATTGATTGTAAAAGAACATTCTCATCCCATACTACATACTCTTTGTAAGGTAGATAAGTCTCAAAGAATGTTTGATATATAGTGCTACATGTAGATGCTATACATTGCCATTGTACATTGAGTAGTCCTTGCACAATCATTGTGCAACAAAATTTGCTTGTATAAAATTGGGAGGCATTTCTTAGAGCATTAGTGATAGCTGCATCACAATTTACATTGTAGCTTTGTTTTTTGTTTGTTTGCAGAATATTGGACATGGTTGACAAGTTGGCCCAGGAGGTGAATGACCCCTGTCTGCAGGCCCATGTCAGCAGTATCGGCACCAGTACTGAGTCTTCTGTTCGCATCATCATCACATCTCCAGGATATGAGCAGATCTGCAAGTCAGTACTCTATTCTATGAATACAGTAGGATAATATAATTATCATAAAGTCTTGTGTGTGATACCTTTGAGTATTAACATTGATATTGTGATTGATATTACTAGTGCAGATTACAGACTACAAGTCATGTACATGTACTTGTATTAACTAACATACATTACCAGTTAGTTGATGCTGTGCCAACTCCTTTCTCAGACATTGATATGAAGATTTGTTCTGATTTCACATTATGTTTTGTCTCACCACAGAACCATGCTGCATGTCAACATAGGCGTGGAAGACGTCAAAGTCGTTTCGAAGGATGGCAAGGTCATCACCTTGTCCTATGATGAGCATGAACTGAGAGACCTTCTGCTTCACCAGGTGATTTTCTGCATTCTAATCATTTCTTAATTTCTCCAACACCTACCCACATACCAAATATTGTGTTCTGCTGTTCACACACACACACACGGTCCCCCAAACATAACCTTTTTACGAAGGTACATTTTGTACTGTCTAGTAATCTTGGTACAGCAGCTTGTAAAAATTCAAGCTGTTTTTACATGTTTGTGTTTCTGCCTGCTAGGCTTGTCAGCATCAAGTCAACACAGTCCAGTCCCTCAGTAAAATGATGGGGTGGCAGATTCTGCACCTGAGTAACCATGTAGGGACAGGACCTGTGGAGAAACTGGGCAATGCCTCGGGCATCATGATGGCTTCTCCCAAGGGAGATAGGTAAGACTGTGCTGACATTTTCATTCTTAGCTTTCACTTGAACAGGTGACACCATCTCATATGCTTGTATTAGACTTATTCAAACCCTGGCCCTGGGAAACTGGCCTTAAAAGTCAAACCATCCTAAAACCAAGTTGATATATTTGTGCTGATCAACATTTAAGATATACCATAATGATTGTATCCATCATAAATTTTACTTTTCTTTTTGTTTGTTTACATTTGTGTGTCAAACTTCTTCTCTTCACTGCTGCAACTGGACTGGACCGATGCAAAGTCCCAAGAACAAAAAAAAAGTCATTATGATTTCCTAGCAATGAATATAAAATAAAGTTGTAATCTATGTAGGAAGTTAAGGCACCTTCCCTTCAGATGTGTCCTGTTGCCTGTACAGTGTTTTCCTGTCCTGTTTCAGGGTGATCTCAGTTCGGAACAGCCCGTCTCTGGGGCCGCTTGTCTCGGTACAGCTGACGCGACAGAAGGGGTGCGAGACGTGGAGGAGCGATGTCATCAAGGACACCAAATGGGACCAGGTCGGGGGCAGCTTCAAACCAGTCCAGTGGGACAAGGCCAAGGGCAGGAACTTTGTCAACAAAATAGAGCTGCTGATGGGGTGTTTAACATGATAATATTTGTCTCTGGACAGCTCATACCCTCCTCATGTAGTGTGTCTTGTTATATAACTGTCATTTGTACTTTGTATATAAGACTAGACCAATTTCATATCTCAGTTCATATCTCAATTCTTAGGTTTTAATGAAATAGAAATAGAAAGAAAGAAAATCGTGTGTATCATCCAGGCTTATGAATCAACCCCAACATGCTCATATTTTGAAGCTAACAGCGGGAGAAAATCCTTCTCTTTGTTCCAATTTTTCCATCTATCTGTGTATTAAAAGTTGTTGTAGCATTTGGGCCTTTACAAGATGTCTGTTTCCTTGTTGATTCCACCCCTCCCACTCCACTAACTTGCAAAAATCTGAGAACCAAATAAAATTCAATGGGTGTTACCTAAGCAAAAAAGATATTCAAACTAACAGCCAAAAATATCCTTTTTTTATATTTCATTTATTACATGTAGTAAACATTGCTTTTGTAATGCCAGCTACAAGTGCTTTTCAAAAACCATGTGAGCAGCTAATAATACATCTTGTGTTCAAGTGTAACATAGTAGTATTTACTATCAGTCATGGTGTTGCCAGTCATGTATTTTACAGGGCAGAAAAGCCTTTTCTGTGTCACTGGGGTCATG